ATCAAATTGTTAAAAAGCTAATGTCAAAAAAATGAAACAAAAAAAAAACATTCAAGTGTTGGTGATAGCGCTTGTACAATAGCATCAGCAATTTGTGTTCCTGAACTACTTCTACATTAGGGACGCATTTACTTCATATGCATCGAAATTTTGTCGAAAATCATTGATCTAATCATGTTGTTTTACTTAATGCATTTCAACAATATGAAAGAGAAAAGTATTTTTTTATGGAAAAAAAATTTTATTTCATCAAAGAACTTGTTTTTTTTTAGAAATTGTAATAGTGAACGTGGTGAAATGGACTATTGTGAGCGTAAATGTCTTAATTTATCAACAATGCGAATGACTTATGAAGCACGAGTAATAGAATTTAAATTTCTGAATGAAAAGTTAAATTAATTTGTTAAAATTTAGAATCAACTTCGTGATATAATGTTAATGTCAGGTTTTCCTGAAGAATGTTTATTATCTAAATGATTTGATGTCGAACAATCACATTCAAAATTAGATATTGTATTTATCAAAAACAATTATTTAATTTAATTCTAATATTGTTTTTATTAAAAGGTGATATTACTTCTTTGTTTTGATATTTATCCAAATGTTTGTTTTCATATATCAAAACGAAAATTATTAACAAATGAAAGTATGAGAAGCATTACTAAATGAAAATTTTGTGAATTATAGACGAGAAATTCCAATATTTCCATCACTATTTTTTTTTACGTGGCATTTTAAGTGAAAATTCAAATTTTAATAGATTGAAAATATTTTCTTAACCAAGATAAAAAAAACTCAAGCTAGATCTGTCCTGATCAAGTTGATGTTGTTGAATTGAATCTTGTTTCTCTTGATAATTCTTCTGTATTTATACTTGATCTGAAATATTTATTTTAAATTTATTTAAGATTTTTTAAAATATAAATTTTTGAAATAACTACCATCAAAAATTGTCGTACTTCAATCAGTTATAGTAGTGTTAAACAGGTAGCACACAGACTAACAAACCAATGGTTTGACGCAAGCGAAATCAATCCAATGATGCTCAAATGTTTACAAGAAAAAAGTGGAAGAGTATCATTTTTGTTACATACTAATAGATATCTCATATTATAGTAACAATCAGCACATTGCATAGAAGTCATTAGAAAATGAATAATAAGATAGTATTCGAGTTGTACTCAACTACGGAATGTGGTTCAACACGACAAATATTGATTATATAGAAAAAGGATGTCTGACAAAAAAAATGAATAATCGTTCACCATAATTTATCGTAGAAAAACTTTCCCGCCAAAGACATCTTTATTTTACTCGTATCAGACTTTTTTTTGTCTAAATTTACTACTATGAGAACTTGATCCACTTCAATCAACATATTTTTCATGAACGATATCGATTGATCGTTTAATTATCTATATAGTTCATTTTCTTATAATCATCTGTATTCACAACTGTGTTAACTATAAAAAACGAGTGCTAACTATTAAAGCTATTTGTAAACGGATGAACTGTTCTTAGCAAGATTGGAAAAAATGATGCCCGTTCGATTTCGATACTTTCACCTCATGTTTTAGCGATTATTCTCTGGATTTCGATTTTCGAGATTGTGATTTTTAAAAACTTAATCTATGTGACTTTTCTCTTGTTTAGACTGAAGCACTTTTGCAGGTTGTATAGAATTCACACGTCATATATATGAAAAACATTCAAATAAAAATCCTTTACAAATATTTGATAAAGAAATAACTTTTATATTTTTCATTCTCTGTTTTTACTGTACAATCATAAAAAAGACATAACTAGTAGTCTTCCATAGAGTTTTGTTACTTAACGCAGAAACAGAGGGCAACAATTATCTACTGATGAATTATTATTAGTATTAATGATAATTAATTATTGCTAAAATTACCACTTAATCTTGCTTCATTATATCGACATAAGAAATTATAATCCATAGATTATTTTTGTTATCCGGGTTTTACTTGGGACCAAGGAAACATCATACTGGAAATTGGATCAAAATCGTAATCATAACATCGAGATCTCAACGCCTCTAATGACGTTTCACCAAGCATCAGATGATGTGCCGTTCTCCATGATATCGCGTCACAGACTATGGATTGTGGAAGCGGAATTCGAGAAAGAAAAAAAACATTTCGAGTGATTTATAATAAAGGGCTTCGCATCACATTAATGAAATGATGAATGGATAGTGTACAATGAAAAAGTATCTATGAACTCACTGATGTCAATGAAAA